TAGATTTGCACACCTTATAAGACCACATACTCCAATTTTAAATTATGAAAAGTCCCATGAGCCTTTGCTGCCCTAGCATACGTTGAATTATCTCCATATCCATGGGCTGGAAAAACAACAAACAAACAAACAAGGAAATGTGGGCAACCGCACTGGCTGCTGGCTTAATCGTAAAAAAATACAACTTTACTTGAAGTATTAGCATTTCGTGTATTATATTATTGCATTTGGCCCACCACCCTCAGATTGATTTTAATTTTGTCCCTTTCAGGGAAAATGTTTGGGCACCCCTGCACTACAATATAAATATTTTCAAAACATGACAAGGTGCTTTGGCAATTAAAAAAAAGTTAAGAGATTAAACATGCTGTCATTTTTTAAATGTTTTTCATGAAACACAAAAAAACCCGACCCACGATGTAACATAATGATATTTTTGTGTTTCCTGAACACCACTCATATAAAAGAGCAAGATGGTGATGTGAAGCAGGAATAAAGAAAAACTATATTTATCTAGTAAGAGCTCTACACTAAACACTGCTTAACTCTGGTATCTTTCAAGTTCAGGACACATAACTGATACATACATTTATAAAAATTACATTTCCAGTCTGCAGTGGAACTACGATGGGTTTTCTTTACATATCAATTCAGTTCAGTTTACTTATATAGCGCCAAATCACAACAAAAGTTGTCTCAGGGCTCTGAACCAGAAAATTCATATTAATAAAGCCAATCCAAGCCAAGTTATTAATCTAAGGAAGCATTTTTTTTCTTTCAATCTCAGACTTGTGTTCTTGATTAACATTAACAGTTGCTCAACACATGTAAAGAAATTGTGAAAACAGCATGAAATTCCAAAGGGAGGACCACAAAACGTTCTATGGTACACTTTTCCCWAGCTAAGATGCTAGGCTAACAGCTGGATTACAGCGATGGGACGAGTTGAATTTGACAGGAAAAAAGTGCAACTTTGAGCTTAATGTGTGCCTTAAACATTTTGTTGGAGGTAAAAGACCAACACTGGACCACCCGGATCCTACCCCAGCACTTCCTGTCCATTACATTAAACCTTATTGTTTTTACTAGCTTTACTCCTAGCATCCATGCTAGCCTCATACAGCGATCTACTGCAGTCAGTCACACATAAGGTGATAATTTTGTACAAATTTTAAACATGACTGTCAAGTTTCTTTAAATGATGCAGTTTTTTTAAAATAAAATCAATGTTTTGCAGTTCATCTTCTCTCCCAACAAAATGCTGTATATTTTGGCAATGCATTGTGGGTAGCCTGTGATGTCAGCATATCTCAATGAAGACATTTTTTTTTTTTTTTACTTTTCATAACTCTACTGTTAAGGACACCTTACCAGTGAGGTTTCACACAGGAATTTAGTCCCCTTGACTAAGCTGCCCACAGTCATGTGAAAGTAGGTGCTTCCACTGGACCAGCTAGCCATGTGGTTGTATGGGTAACTTTCCAGAATGTCCTGTTAGGATGAAAAGCAAACGTTAGAGGTGAAAGTAAAGAGCAACAGAAATGGAACTAATAATTATAACTTCTGTTGCTTTCATGAACCTTAGTTCTTGGGTGGATGATTGTGAGTCCGGTCTTGCTGATGGCTATTCGGACAATATCTGGAAACTTTGGCATCGATGTTTGCTGAGAAGAAAGTCAAAATCATTATCATTTTGCCCCCATGACTATTAGATCATCACAGTGCAAACATCTGAAAAACAGTGCCAGATAAACAAAGCAAACATTTAAACAAATCCAATGCATGCTGCACCTACCTTCACTTCAAAGAAAGCGCAGCCAAATGTCGGCCAGCGGTAAACTGCTTTCAGAAAAGCTATTTTTGCTTCGTCGACAGTCATACCAGCATGTTTATTATACAAAGAAACAATGCCCTGAAAATAAAAAAAGACATATTTATGTCACAGTAAGACAGAACACAGTTGATTTATGAGAAGTGATTGCCCTGCTTTAATGAGGTTAACTTTCTCTGGACCCCCAGCCTTCAGGCTATGTTCCCACTGCACAGAGAGGGGAATCATGGGAAGGCTATAATAGTGATATTGTTCATGCTTGTGCAACTCAGAATATAAGTCATTGGCACAGTTTGCCTTTATTTGCAGAAGATATGCAGCATTTAGATGGGAAACCAGAGCATATTTAATTTGAAGCTTGTGTTTTTATGTTGTTAGACTTTTATTCTCTTGTCAAGATATATTTCCTGACTTTAATTGAACCAATAATTTGTGCTAAAAGTATTTGTAATTTTCTCTTTTTTCACTACTGGAGGCCTTATATCTTCCTTAGCTTTACCTTTGAGTTTTATGCTAATGGGCTAATGTTAGTATGCTAAAAATCCTAAATTAAGTAGGTAAATATTTCCAAATTATTGTTGGCATTGCATGGTACTCTTGTTTTATTTTGGTGTATTTGCCTGACATGTCTGGTGTATTGAGATATGTGGCTGTAATACAATGGGGTCCAAACCTATGTTCTCTGGAACCTATACATTCTTCCAAGTTTAATACTGAAAGTCATGAAAGATGCTCGACTCCCCCTTCAAATGTCTTTTAAAACAAATGAAAAAAAAATAATAATCTGAATTACAGTGCAGACATTGTACTGGGAAACATAGTTACTAAAACAGAAATTAGTGGATTATGAGTTAGCAAAATTATATTTTAAATTAATGGATTATGAGTTAGCAAAATTATATTTTAAATTAGTGGATTATGAGTTAGCAAAGTTATATATTAAATTAGTGGATTATGAGTTAATGAAGATATAATTTTTAGGCTTGCTGTGCCTACCAATGTCACACATACAGTGGTTTGCAAAAGTATTCATACCCCTTGACCTTTTCCATATTTTATCACATTACAACCACAAACATAAATATATTTCACTGGAATTTAATGTGAAAGACCAACACAAAGCGGTATACAATTGTGAAGTGGAAGCAAAATTTTA